ATTGAAAAAATAATGGTCAAACAGAAATTATAAACTCCTCAATATTTGACACATAATCTTTCATTATATCATATAATACATATACGATATATATTTTTAGAAGTACATATTTATTTAGAAAGTGAAAACAGATGAGGGCCAATTATTCGTCCATACATATATAAATTTCTTTTCTTTAAGTTTATTATATTTATTAATATGTAATCTTTTTGCATGTGTGTATGATTCTTAATTGTACTAAGATATCGTGAGAATGTATATGTGTATATTTTTCTTTGTATGCTTTCTTATTACTGTGGTGCTTCTACAATCAATTAAATCATCCTTAAAATTTTAAAAAACCTTGCAATCCTATATATCCCTAGTCAATGATAAAATAAGTAAAGGCTTGGTTATCATCCTAAATATAAATAAAATAATGTATTTTGTGAATACTGTCATGTTCACTTAGAGTTTTAGATTCTGAAACGAATACAGTATTTTTGATCATTAAACTTTAGAATTCATAAAACTACATTAGAAGGTAAAACTTGATTCATTTACAAAATTCCCATTTGTTTTCTAAAGTGATATATATCTTTTTTAATCTTACAGTTTTAAATCTAGAAACTCAGGAGCTTACCAGAGATGAGCCATTCATTGATAACTGAGCACTGAGCAGATACCATTGTATTTTAACAGGCAGCATTTGGGAGTTAAACTCTCTGAAGCCACTTCCCTCAGGCTTTGAAATCATTCAAACATGTAATTACATTTCTGGTTCTGTATTGTCCCCTGTGAATACATGAACATCTTTAGTAAATGTTGAACTGAAATCAGAAGTCACTGAATAGTGTCTGTAAGAAAGAAAACTGCAAATTAATTTGTCCTATAGAAGAAATAGAATGTGTGCATTTTTTTTTTTTTTTACAACACAATGCCTTTATTTTTATGTGGTGCTGAGGATGGAACCCGGGTCCTGCCTGTGCTAGGTGAGCGCTCCACTGCTGAGCCACAATCCCAGCCCAATATGTGCATATTTTACATTATAAAATGCAATCTGTATTATTCTTGTCCAGCTGAGTCAGAATCAATGAAACTATTAGCCCCATGGTGCTGTTCATAAGAAAGAGGAACAAATTATGTGAGTAGTTTGAGAATATGTGGCACAGGCACAAACCTTTAGACCTGTTTTGGAAAGCCACATTACCCCAGTTCTTATCCATGTGCTTTTTTCCTTTACTACACATTGATACAACCTATCTTAGGATACCTCTTATGCCACTTTGAAAAGAATAGGTGTCTCCTGTGCTTTACTTATATTTTTAGAGTTCTTACCTGGGATAATAATGACAACTAGAAAAGTTACAATCTTTTACTCCTTTAATCTTGTATAATTTTAATTGATAATTAAGAATTTCATAGAGTTGAATAATCCTTCTAACTTATTGCCATGTTTGCAGTTTTTCAACAAGATTCTCTTAGTGTTTTGGACATCATGAACTTGAGCACAGACAGATGCAGTAGCTGAACTATCTTCTAAGTACTTAGAAGAATACTCTGTATTTAATTTTCACATTTTTGTTTAATCACTAATTTATAATATATGACCATTTTATTTGTTTTTGAAATCTTAAAATATTTATTCAAAATATATTTCATATCCTCAATTCACTATAATTTTATATCTAATGAGCACTCAAATGTTACTCCATGAATTCATCTTCATTTCTTATTGTTTTTCCATTCTGTGACTCAGTCACAATGCTGTGAAAGAGTCAAAATCATGAGGCATGCTGTCCTTCAGCAAAGAATGCTCACAATCTCTCATTGAAGTTGAAGATTTAATAAACATCAATGGAAAGAATAATTATAAGGAATAATAATAAAGAGGAGACAGACACGGTGCAGAGGCAGGGAAATTGGCAAAGTAGCTTTTTGTCCAAGAGGCTATTTTTATTTATATCAATAGGATACATTAGGTCATTAGTACCATAGCTGCATTATTGTTTAGAGTATCAGTAAGGTTACTTATTTTGAAGTTATATTTCATAGTTACAATGTACAGTGTCAGGAGTTTGTGGCAGTTCTCAAGAAGGTCCATTGTCTAAAGTTACTGTTAGGTGGGCAGCTCCAGGAGCACCAGAGCTTGATGAAACATTGTAGTTATCTAGCAAACAAGTTCTTCTATTCCCAGGAGTTATGTGCCTATAATCAAGGTCAAGGCTTGATGAGGCTCTAAATCAGAGGCATTTCAGGGCATTGCCATACTAGCTAGACATAGCACATATGTTAGATATATTATTAGATCCTAAGAGAGATTACAGGACATTCTAAGGGTGGGAAACATGGTGCCTGTTCCCTACCTGGGAGTTTTCTCACCAGAGGAACGCTTCCCTGTACATTTTCAAAGACAGAATCCCTACAAATAATATCTTTAGGAAATTACTATTTGGGAATCACAAATGTACCCACTTAACCAGAACTGAAAAAGGAAATAAAGGAAGAAAAACTGAATGGACATGATAGAGTTGAGAATTTCATTACAGGGTTAACTTTATTGATGTCTTTCATTAACACATTTTCTTCATTTCATTTTATTGTTAATTGACATAAAATTGACAAAATTGTTCAGGTATGGTGTGACATCAAGTCTTAGATAAAAAATGAAAAATGAAACTTTGAAAACACATAAGCCTAGTGAAATATTTTCTTTCATTGATAGATAATGGTCTTTTATGAAGTTAGTTTTAAACTTTACAATCAGTACCATATAGATTTTTTTTTTAGTTATTCAGACTATAACCTTTGTAGCCCTAAGTCATGTCAAAAGATCTTTATTCTCAAATGCATACATGCATCCATATGCCTAATATTGTTTTCTTGGGTAACTGGAAAGGAGTGTGGATTTATCTGTTATTTAGTACATACTATTATATAGATCAGAAAATGTGAAGATGAAAAGAAGCATTACCACTTACACTTTTATAAACTTTATATACTGGTCTGGGATCATGGGAATTTTTAACAATAGGTTGAAAATAGTGAAATAAATCTTGACTCTTAGATATGGAATATTGCTCTTACAGTATCCCAGTTTTACAAATATTATAATAATAGCAGCCCATCCTGTGACTACTTAGAAATAACATATTTCTTTATTCTTTATTCTTAAAAGTTTTTACAAAAAAGCATCAATTAAAAAAGGATCATATATACATTACATAGTAATAAAAGAAAGGTGACTATCATTCATTATCTCAAAGAAGGTGATTATCATATGTATTACCTCAAAGATCCATGATTTATTTATTGTAAAATAGTCAAAATCTTTTATTCTGCTTCTTTTGAAATGCATATGCATTATTACTGGCTATAGTAACCCTATCATTCAGTATAATACCAAATTTATTTCTCCTTTTATATTCAAACAACAACTCAGAGGAAAACAAGCAAGGAAAAAAAAAGAACTTGAATAAATTGTTCTAGAGAAGATTAAATAGACGTTTCTCTAAATAAGGCACACAAATAATTACTAAGTGTGTGAAAAAAAAATTCAACTTCACTTGTCATTAGGGGAATGCAAGTCAAAAGCACTTTGCTCCATATTCCTCCATATTCCTTATATTTTGTACTTTATTTTATTTAGAGTCATTTTCCTGCTGCCTCTGGCTCTAATTCTCATCTTCATCTGGAATCCTTTTTTTCTCCCCACCACACCTCACTGTATCTCTAATCATTGCATAGATCTGAAGATAAACATCTCCATTACAAGGCATCATTACTTCATTGATGTCTAGATTTTTTTGTATTTGCTTTTAAATTGATCACCTGGACTTATGACTTCACCATGTGTTATAGTTCAATGTCACTTACTTTTAAGTTAAATTAATTAGTGTTTCTAATTTTCAATAGAGTATATAGCTCATTTGCATTGAAAAGTTTTATGCCATGAAAATCAACGATGCACACAGTAATGCAAAAGGCACACACTGAAAACCTAACAACTCTTAGAATAATTAAATGCATAAATCTACACCAAATGAATGATACTTTAATACACTATATACAGACTGAAAAGTTTTCCCAAACTAAATATGACC